GACCCCTCCTGAACTGCTGGGATTACAGATGGACAGGGCAGTCCTAGGTCAACCCCACCAGTGCAGATTCCACCTACCCCACAAATCACAGAGCCAGACTTTCTTTCCTTTGTGTTATGTTTTAAAATATCCCCCCAAAATAAAATAAATTAAAAAACAAAAATATTTCAAGCTGGGCACAGTGAGGGACACACCTGTAATCCCAGCTACTTGAGAGGCTGAGGCAGGAGGATTGAAAAGTGTAGTCGGGTTATACTCATTTCTGTTTCTCTTCATTTATTAATTCACTCAATAAATATGTGTTGAGCAGCTCTTACATGCCAGACACTAATATTAGAAGTTTGGGATAGACCAATGGGCAGGACAGAGATGTCTGCCCTTATGAATTCCTCCTGTATTCTAGTGGGATCCAGGGAGAGGAAGACAGACTATAAGCAATCATGCTAGGTAAACTGTGCTTTCCACAGATGGCTGTAACAATACCTTCCACCTCACATGCCCTTCTCCAAGGAGACCTTGCATCTCCCATCAAGAAATGTGGCCCGGGCTGGGGTTGTGACTTAGAGGTAGAGCACTCGCCTAGTATGCGTGAGGAACTGGGTTCCATCCTTAGCACCACATAAAAATAAAAAAAATAAAAATATTGTGTCCACCTATAACTAAAAAATAAATATTAAAAAGAAACAAATGTGGCCAAAGACTGGGGTTGTGGCTCAGTGGTTAAGCACCCTGAGTTCAATCTCCAGTATCCAAAAAGAAAAAAAAAAAAAGAACGGGAGCAGGCAGACCATTGCTTCCTCCTCCAGGGTGGCAGCCTGGAGGAGGTGGGCAGCAGCTGGACACTGGATGTATTTTATGGGTAAAATATATACAAATTGAGTGTGGGGTAGGAAAGACAGAGAAGAATCATGGACAATCACAAGTTCTGGGGCCTGAGCTAAGAGCAAACAGGGAGACAGGGAAGATATGAGTAAAGCAGACCTAGCCAGCCGCAGGATGGGGGATAGAGAGAGCTGCTTTAGAGACGCAGAACATGGGATGTCTATCACAGGTCTGTTCCAGATCCATAGGTAGTTAGAGACACAAATATGGAGTTCAGAAAAAAAGGTGTGGGCTGAAATGTAAAAGGCAGGAGTCCTTGACTCAGAGGTGGCCTTTAAGTCTGGAGACTAAGTAGGATCTGGGAGACAAAAAGTAGAGAGGCCCCGAGCCAGTGTGAGATCAGTAAGGAAAGGAACAGGGGGAGTAGCAGCGCAGCTGCCAGGGAGGAGGCCAGGGGTCAGGGAGGCCAGGTGAGGAGAGTGTAGCGAAGGTGGGGGGGAGCCAAAGGTGCTGAGAAGGGCAACGTGGTCACCAGTGACCTTAAGGAGAACAGAGGAGGGAGAAGGTGACATCCTGAGGGGATCAGCTCTAAGAAAGAACTAGAGGTGGCAAGTTTGTTCACTATTTCCAGGAGTTTTAATGCTAAAAGGCACAAGGAAATAGGGAGTAGTTAGTTGGCGAGGGAGTAGAGTGGGAAGTTAGGGTTTTTTGTACTGGGGAATGAACCCAGGGGTGCTTAACCACTGAGCCACATCCCCAGCCATTTTTATTTTTTACTTTGAGACAGGGTCTTGCTAAGTTGCTTACAGCCTCACCAAGTTGCCAAGGCTGGCTTTGAACTCGCCATCCTCCTGCTTCAGCCTCCTGAGCCTCTGGGATACCGGCGTGCACCACCATGCCCAGCAAGAGGTTGTGTCTCTATGGAGAAATAACAGTGATTTCTATGCTGATGGGAGTTTTGCTGGAGGAGTGCCCCTAGGCAGGAGGGGCTGGGTCCCCTGCACTGGGGCAGGGGCTGGCTTTCTGGGCAGGTGGGCTGTTCTGCTACACTCACAGGTGGAGTGCAGAGACGAAGGTGCAGGCATTGGTGACTGGACAAGTTTTTTTCTAGGAGGCGCCAGGTGTTAGAAAGAAGGAAGGAAAAGAGAATGAGCAGCTTCACCTGGCAGAATCAAGGGTTTGTAGTGGTACATTTCAAGTTCAACCAGGTGACAAGGCTGTGTCTTCAACTATCTCTGTGTGTCTACAGGCGCATCTAAGTGTCTATAAATGTGTACCTGTGTGACTATAGATGGTGTGAGTGAGGCTCTGTATTCCTGGTCTTCACGTGTCAGCAGTGTGTCTCCTTTGGGTGCTGTGATGTGGAACTGTCCAATGTTAGCCCTGGCTCCTCATCCTGCCCAGATTCCTGTCACCTCCATGCCCACCTGTGCCAAATTGTGACCTTGGGCCTTCAAATCAGTCCCTGTGTTCAGGGCAGAAGAGCTTGTTGGGGAAGTGTTTGGAGAGTTGCAAGGTTGGGTCCCTGCTCCCAGAATCCTCAAGACCCAAGACCTTAGGAGAAACTAGGAGTCTGATTTGGGCACGCTGACAACAGGCTCCACTCTATGAAGTGAAACACCACCAGTCATAAAAGGGCAAAAAAGGGGGGGCTGGTCAAGTGTTTGCCTCACAAGCAGAAAGCCCTGAGTTCAATCCCCAACACCACAAAAAATAAAAATAAAAAGGCAAAAAGAGTATTAACCTGGAGTCCCAGAGCAGCAATGGTCCCTAGGTCTTCAGGTTGGAGGGGTGGGCTCAGACCCCATGCATCACACCCGTCTCCAGAAAGCAGGGCCAGTCCTCCAGGCAGAGCTGGCCTATCCTCAGAAAGAGGCTGTGGGGACACAGTGGCCCCAGGGTCGATAGGCATGGAGTTAATCATTCACTAGGGGTACACCTGGGTCCCATTGGCTGCCTGGGGACACAGCCCTTTGGGATGAAGCCCAAAGGAGCCGGAAGCAGCTTCTTAGCTCATGTGTGCCTTACAGACTCAGGGGAAATGGGGCTAATGCAGCCAGAAACTTCTGAGTTGTTTAGAGTTGGGTGCTTCAACAGGAAGCCCCCAATCTAAGAAGTCAGACAGCACCCCTGACCCCAGGGAGCTCAATCTATGACAAAGAAGACAGAGGGACACAGGAGGAAGAATTCTGAAGGGAGAGGGGTGTTCTGATGAACAGCTTAGATGGAGAACATGGAAGCATATTTGAGATTGGGGTCTCTGAGGGTGAGGAGGAAAATTATTATGCCCCCAGGGGCTAGGCCCACCTGCTCTGAGAAGCTCTGGGAATGTATGTGGGAAGGGTGTGGAGGGGGTGGTGGCAGAAAGATGAAAGAGAAAGAAAACTGTGAAGGTGGTCCTCAGGGGATAAGTGCAGATCCTCCGAACCACTGCTTTACTCCTTAACTAGAAACCCAGATTTCTGAGTAGGAAAATAGAAAAGTTGATGATGAGGTCACAAAGTCAGGTTCCCCCCCACACCCTTAGTCTCCTGCCTGGGACAGTGTTTGTGGTTGTGTTAATGGGGGGAGTTTCCAGGAAGAGGGTCAGTATCCTCACACTGCATCCTTTGAATTTCATTTATTTTTACTTATTTATTTATTTTTTGCGGGGATAGCAGGGTGCTGGGGATGGAACCAGGGCTTTGCACATGCGCAACACACACTTTACTACTACTGATCTACATCCCCAGCCCTGCATCCTCCGGAACACTCAGGAGGGAAGCAGCCCCGGCCACTGTTCCCAATTTAGGTGGTGCCCCAAGAGTCCTGAGTCTCAGCCTAGAGAGCACAAAACCACCCTGAAGACAAGAGCAGAGATGGGAACTTAACATATCTAGAGTCTAGCCAGGATGCTGACAAGCTGGTGACCTTGGCCAAGTTATTTGCCCTCTACAAAAGACAGTCTTATTCCTCCTCTGTAACAGAAGACTAGACTGGATGGCATCCACCCAGGTGTAGGACACGAACAACTTAAAGAGCAGGGAGGTGTGTTCAGGCAGCATATGAACCCAGTTAAGTAACACAGAACCATATCCCCTGACAGTGTTCAAGTCTTTCAAGTTCATTCCAAATTTTGCTTAAGAGCCTGGATCTGAATAGAAAAACTTTGCTTCAAAGACAACCCTGCTTGTGAGCAGAGTGACGGTAGCTCTCACTTATTTCTGTGCCTCAATTTCTTCATCTGTAAAGTGAGGATAATAACCATATATGTCCTGAAGTCATTGTGAGGATTAAATGAGTTACAATTTGGGAAGTGCCCGTTGCTGTGTGTGAAGTCCTCACATGGTGCCAGGTGTGGTTAATACCTTCTATGTTCCAAGACATTAGGCTACACTATCCAGCTGGAATTTAATGACATTGTTTTAATCTCACTTTGTTTTATTTATTTGTTTGCTTGTTTATTTATTGGTAATGGGGATTGAACCCAGTGGTGCTTAACTACAGAACCATACCCATAGTCCTTTTTGTTTTTGTTTTGTTTTTGTTGTTGTGTTATTGTTGTTGTTAAGACAAGCTCTTGTTAAATTGTTGGGGGCCTCCCTAAATTGCTGAGGTTAACTTCAAATTTACAGTCCTCCTGCGTCAACCTGCAGAATATCTGGGATTCCAGGTGTGCATCACCTCCATATGACTTTATTCTTAAGGCTTCCTTCTGTATCTGGATAGGAATATTGGCCTTCTAGTTACAGTTCTATTATGAACAGATTTTAAGTTTAAATGGTTTAAGGAAAAGCCTTACATATTAGAAAGGGGTGCTCTGGGGATGGGGCAGTTTCCTCAGGGTGATTCCTAGTGGCTGGAGGTCACAAACCCTAGTAACCCCACGTGAGCTCAGACCACAGGAGATTGCATTTACACCCTGGAGCGAGGCTGACTCCACCTCCTTCGACTCTTCCCGACCCCTCCTTCCAGTCCCTTCTGCACTAATGACTATCTGCTCTCCTTTCTCGCTTTAGTCAGTGTCCCCTTTAACCAATGAGGACCCCGCTGACTCCTACAGCCACCCTTAGGTCCATAAGCCCTTCCTGGAACCGAACTTGGCCGCACATTAAAGTGCTCCACCGCCTTTTATCAGGGCCTCGTGTACCTCGCCAGAGAGCACCGTCCCCTCTAAGGGCGGGAGATGCTGGCGGCTCCGCCCCCTAACCCATGAACTGACCTTCCTCAAGCTCTGGCCCGGGTCCGGATCCGCCCCGGCCAGGTCCAGCCCCGCCCAGCGACAAGTTAAGAGCTCCCCTTCCCCACTGTGCGGAGTGCTAAGGACAGATCGCCACCGGTGGGGGACGTGCGGGGTTGGTTCTCGTCATGGCGACAGCGCGGGTGGCAGCTACCCTGCGGACCGCTGCTACCGGCGGGAAGTTGCACGGCCCACGGGGCACTGGGGGCGCACGGAGACTGAGTGGTAGCGCACGGCGGCGGGCCGCTGGGGGTGCTAGCCCGGGACGCCGGCTCAGCACCGCGCGGGCACGTGTCCAATCCCAGCCGGAGGAGGCCGAGGGCGCTGAGGACCGCGTCCAGTCGCCCACCACAACCGAGCCGTTGTGGACGCCGCCTCCGGCGCCGCCCGAAACCCCCGCGCCCCCGGCTGGCCGTTCTCTGGTGCAGCGGGACATCCAGGCCTTCCTGAACCAGTGTGGGGCTAGCCCCGGGGAGGCGCGCCACTGGCTCACCCAGTTCCAGAGCTGTCACTACTCCGCAGACAAGCCTTTCGCCGTCATCGAGGTGAGGGGAGCCTTGTCACCGAGAAGGGACAGGGGTGGTGTAGCGACTGTCAGGCACAGCAGGACAAGCTGTGGACTGGACAGCGGAACTGAGAAAGGGCACGGCGAGTGCTGATGGGTACCGGGAATGGGCGAGGCCTCGCGCTGCTCCAGAAGCTTCCCTTGCAACCTGAGGTCGAAACCTGGGGAACCTAACCCTCAGATGTGATGCCTGAAGAAGGTCCCCCACCATGGACGCAGTTAGGGGTTCAGAGGGTGGAGTTGCTTGCATCACCCCTCCCCCAAAGGTGTCCCAGAGTCCAAGGTTACTGGGAGGAGCGGTGGGAGGAACTGCAGCGTGAGATAAGGGAGCGGCAAGACCCAACGGGCAAAGGGCGGAGCAGGTGGGCTCCAGTGACCAGAAGTGGGGCCTGTCAACTCCTGAGCAGGTGGTCATGAGATGACCTAAGGTCCTCGCTGTAAAGATCAGGCGGCTCAGGGCCAATGTGGCTCGCATTGACGCCTATTCATGCCTTGTGCCCGCAGGTGGATGAGGAGGTGCTCAAGTGCCCGCGGGGCGTATCCAGCCTAGCCTTTGCCCTGGCCTTTCTGCAGCGCATGGACATGAAGCCACTGGTGGTTCTGGGGCTGCCGGCCCCCACAGCGCCCTCGGGCTGTCTTTCATTCTGGGAGGCCAAAGCACAGCTTGCCCAGAGCTGCAAGGTGCTGGTGGATGAGCTGAGGCACAACGCAGCCACTGCAGTGCCTTTTTTTGGCGGCGGGTCAGTGCTGAGTGCTGCAGAGCCAGCCCCCCATGCCAGGTTAGTGCCGGCCCTGCCCTCCTGGGCGTCGTCAGAGCAGGCTACTTGGCCCACCCTGCCCCAGTCTGATGGTGCTGGAGGGGCCCTCTCGAGCACCACGTCTGGCCCACAGCTATGGTGGCATCGTCTCGGTGGAGACGGACCTGCTGCAGTGGTGCCTGGAGTCCAGCAGCATCCCCATCCTGTGCCCCATTGGGGAGACGGCTGCACGCCGCTCAGTGCTTCTCGATTCTCTGGAGGTGACCGCGGCGCTGGCCAAGGCGCTGCAGCCCACCAAAATCATCTTCCTCAATAACTCAGGCGGCCTGCGCAACAGCAGTCATAAGGTGCGCTCCTCCTTTTGCACGCCCACCCCACCCCATGACTCTAGGACAAGCTGAGCCCCCACCCTTACGGCCCCTGCTCGCCTCCTGGACCGGCCACAGTCACTTTCAAGCCCGGTAGATAGGAAAGCATAATTATAAAAAACCGAGTTTGGCCTCCTGCGTCCAGATCTGAGCATTCCCTGGCAGAATTCGCCAGGGGAAGTAAGTTAATAAAGGGGTCAGAGAAAAGAGGTCCTTGGGGAAATGATGCAATCAGGGGGTTAAGGAAGACATCTGTGGTCGGCTAAGGGCTCATGGCTCATCCCCTTGCTGGGGACTCAGGTCCTGAGTAATGTGAACCTGCCTGCGGACCTGGACCTGGTGACCAACGCGGAGTGGGTGAGCACCAAAGAACGGCAACACATACGGCTCATTCTGGACGTGCTCAGCCGCCTGCCTCACCACTCCTCGGCTGTCATCACCGCCGCCAGCACGCTGCTCACGGAGCTCTTCAGCAACAAGGGTGAGGGTCCCCGGTGGGCGGGCAGGTGAGCAGGCGGGTCTGGGGCAGGAGGTTGAGCATCGATCTGGCCTGGCTGTAGGTGTGCAGGAGTTCGGCTTCTCCAGCAGCCTGGAAGTCGTAGCGGGAGGCCACACCAGTCGGTTCCTGCTCCTGCTGAAACCAGGTGGAGGTGTGGGAGGCGAAGATGGACCAGGCTGGAACGGAACTTGGGTAGAACTAAGGAGATGGGCGGGACTTAAGATGCGAGAAATCGGATAGGCGGGATTTTGAGGGGACGTGACCGAGGGGGAATAGCCGAGTGTAGGAGAGGTGGGCTGGACTTGGGCAGGTAGGTGGGACTGGGGGCGGGATAGGAGAGAAGGACTAAAGGTAATGGGAGGGACTACGAGTGATGTGCGAAACTTGGGGTACAAACTGGAAAGAGCATCTCCTTGAGTGAAAAACAGACAAATTGTCAAACCACAGAAATCATTTGACTTTGGAGATGTCCCGAAGATAGTAATTGTGCCACCAGTCCCCTCTCTGCCTGGAGCCCGGAGCAGGCCGCATATACTGAGAAGTGGGCCTGGCCCTGGGTCAACCTAACCCCTTCCTTCATCTCACCCTAGGCTCAGGGACCCTGTTCAAGAATGCCGAGAGGATGCTGCGAGTTTGCAACCTGGACAGCCTAGACCAGGGGCGCCTGGTGAACTTGGTCAACGCCAGCTTTGGCAAGAAGCTCCGGGACGACTACTTGGACTCTCTGCGTCCGCGGCTGCACTCCATCTATGTCTCTGAGGGGTGAGCCTGCGGGCCTCAGGGGCAAGGGACCAGGGTCGTTGATGGGCACTTCAGATCAATGAGAGGTCCCAGCCTGGCTCTCCCGCCCCCTGCTCCAGGTACAACGCTGCGGCCATTCTGACCCTAGAGCCCGTACTTGGGGGCACCCCGTACCTGGACAAATTTGTAGTGAGCTCCAGCCGCCAAGGCCAAGGTTCTGGCCAGATGCTGTGGGAATGCCTGCGGCGGGACCTGCAGATGCTGTTCTGGCGCTCCAGGGTCACCAACCCCATCAATCCCTGGTAGGCCCTGTCTCTCCCTCTCCTCTGCCGCTTCCACCAGCCACCATCAAGATGCTGAGCTCCCCAGGGCTGGAGATATAGCTCAGTTGGTAGAGTCCCTGCTGCAGATGCACAAGGCCCTGGGTTCAATCCCCAGCACCATAAGAAAAAGATACTAAGCTTTCCTTCTTTTACTAGCTTCCCTTCCACAGAGAATGGCCTGGCCTGGGGTTCCCTAGTGACATTCCTCAGGCCCACATCTCTGCTTCCCTTGAAGCAAGTGATACCTCCTAACCCCCATGCAGCAGCCTGTCTCTCCCAAGAAATCCTGACTCTTCTAGAGGCTCCTTTCAGACTCCATTGCCAAACTCCTTATTCCAGGTCCACAGTACCTTCAATGAAAAACCCCTCCTCTCTTTCCTTCATAACTATGCCCCTATCCCTCCCTACCCTATTCTGTGGACACTAAGAAGTGACCAAGGGGCTGGAGATATAGCTCAGTTGGTAGAGACCAAGAAGTTGGATATGCTGGCATATGCAAGTCTCATCTACTTGGGAGGCTGAAGCAAGAGGATCATAAGTTCGAGGCCAGCCTGGGCAACTTAGCAAGACCCTGTCTCAAATAAATAAGTAAATAAAGTCACCAAGAACCAACCATCAAGGCAGTGGGGAGAGGAAGGGATGTTCGTATATTGACCTTCCTAGCTGTGACCCTAGCAAGTTAGCTCACTTCCCTGAGTTTTAGTTGCTTTTCTGTGAAAAGACAGCCTGAAATGTCAGGCTCAGCTGCTACTGAGGGGAGAATGAAGTAACACAATGGGTCCCAGCTGGGCATCCGGCATATAATATACAACTAATAGACTCCTGAAAACAGACTCAGTGAGTGAGCATGAGCCTTGACCTAAAAGCTGCTCCCTTTTCCTTCCTCCCACCCAGGTATTTCAAGCACAGTGATGGCAGCTTTTCCAACAAGCAGTGGATCTTCTTCTGGTTTGGCCTAGCAGATATCCGGGACTCCTATGAACTGGTCAACCATGCCAAGGGGCTGCCAGACTCCTTCTGCAAGCCAGATTCTGACCCAGGCAGCTGACCCTTACCACAGGTCCTGTAGGCCCTGGGATAACCAGGGTAAACGGAAAGCCATGCCTGCTGAGGGTGACCCCAGGCAGCCACAGGCTGGTTGGGGCTTGTTGGCTGAGTAATTTGCAGAGGAAGAAGCAGCCCCAGCTCTGCACAGAGGGAACACCAAAGTGGGACAAGTACAAAGAGGGGGGGGCCAACCTAAGGTTTTGAAGACACAACCAGGTGGCTTTCAATTTTCAGCCTGGGGACTGGGGCATGGGTGCCTTGGAGGGCCCTACTTGGGGCTAACCTTAACGATAGGCCAGTTTCTAGGCCTCTGTGCCATTTTGAGGCTCCCTTGCCCAAAATCTCTGTCACACTCACACAGACACCACCTGATATTCTATCACTCACCCTAATTCCTTTGGGTCTTGCAATTTTTCAGAAGGCCTTGATTAAAATGCAAATGCTTCTGTGAGTCAGTTCACACTTGAAAGGAAATTAGCAGTGACCCTCTGGAATCAAGAACTTGAGAACCAGGGGACTTATAGAGTAAAGGAGACAATAAGATGGAGGGCCCCAAGGATGAATGCTGCCATCATCTCCTCACCTGATGCCAGCTGTCCCCTAGGTTAGAAGACATTTCAGGCCAAGAGCAGCTCCAGACTCCATCCCCTGTGGGAGCTCCACCCCCACCCCCAGCTCCCTTTCCGGGCTGGGCCTAGTACAAGACCAAACATCAATGGCTCATCTTTTATCTACAAGAGCCCAGAGAAGCCACAGGGTGGGTTTGGCTTGAAAGTCTAGACTTGGATATGTCCCCCAGCCCCAGTGAAGCTTGTGTCATCTCTGCAAGACCAGCATACCTCAGAGGAGCAGGAATCCAAAGCCCAGACATTTCATTCACCATTTTTTGAAGCACATGTCAGGTGCCCTACTAGATACTAGGATTATTTTCTGTCCAAAAGTGCACAGAAAAATAGGGAGATGTTCAATTAAAAGTCCCTCTTGGTGACAAAACCCAGGACCTCAGAGAAACCTGTCTTTCCTCAAGAAACATGTCTCAAGACATACTGGGCTTAGGTACTAGACACCTGACCTAGAATCCTGATTTGTAGCTGGACTTGCTCCGCAGCTTGGGATAAGCTGCTTACCTTCTCTGAGTCCCCATTTCCTCATGTGAACATGTAAAATACTTGTTGAAGTGGACACAACCTTAGTTCACTCCCTCTAATTGCCCTTGCTAAAGTTTTCTTCAAAAGAGCTGGCCCCAAGTGGGGAAGGAAGGACAAGCTACAAGAGTGAAAGAAATCAAAAGTATAAACAACAGTAAAGATTTTGAGGTTTTGCTGTTTTATCAAGCTGGAGATTAAACTCAGGGACTTGCACATGCTAGGGAAGTGTTCTACACTGAGCTATACCCCAGCTCAGATTTTGAAATTCTTGAAGACAGTCAAAGGACTGTGGAACTTTCAGAACAGGGGAAACCATGGGAGGATCAAAGTTGGGCTTAACCAGATATGGTGTTTCAAGAAACTCACAATCAATCCCAGCCAATGGCAAAGTGCCCTGTGAGGAAAACAGAAAAGTGAAGCCAAATGTCTATATAAAGTGTTTATTTTTGGAGGACTGTGTGGTCTGGTGTTTGGGAGGGCACTCTACTCCCACCAGGCCAACCATACAGCTGGAAACAGACAGCAGAGATGGGAAGCTGGCTGCTGCCTGCTCCACCCCTACATATCCCAGAGGTTCTCAAGGTACATGACAGAGAGCTGGTACTGTTTCTGCCCCCAGCACGCTCTAAGAACTGTGTGACTTCTGTACTGCCAACTCTTCTGTTCCTCCAGGACCTGAGCCATATGTGTCAACAGTCCAAAAAGCACCACAGAGCTCAGCTGCATCTGCCAGGTTCAAAAGGAAAAGTTTCCCATTCATGTACTTCCCAGTCTCCATCTTCCTTCCTCTGTCACTCACTCTCAGCAGCTGCACCCTGCCTCACTCCCTTCTCAAAAATTCTCCCCTTCCTGGGGACCCAGGAAGCAGCTGGCCTCAGCTCTCCTCTCAACAAACAGGAAAAAAAAAAACAAACAAACCCGTGAGGCATTAAGTTCAGGGATCCCACCTTCCCAAGGACAAGCCAGGAACCGAAAGAGACCTGTCTCTTAACTATGCAAAAAAAAAAAAAAATGGGGGGGGGAGCCAAAGAATCAAACAGACCAAGAAGCATAAATAAACAGCAACAGGGCCAGCGAAGCAGTAGCTCCCTGTGCCCATCTCAGCCTCTTGCTATCAAACTCAGCCATCAGTGGCCAGAATGACAGCAGCCCCGAAGATGCCCACACTCTCGCCGAGCAGTTTCATCTGGTTCCAGAACTCTACACGTCGCATGTTGTGCCAGTAGGCAATGTTGCCATCAATGAGCAGCATGACTGGGGGCAGCAGGACAGCCAGGATCTGAGCAGCCAGAGTCACGTAGTAACCTGACAAGAAGGCCAGGGCCAGGATGCCGTACAGTACGAAGAACAGCTGGATCATCAGCTCCCCTCCTGGGAGATGGTTCAGATATGCCAGTCGGTCTTCCTTGCTGTGCTGCAGTGAATAGGCCTGGAGACACACCATCCTCTAAGACTCTCCAACAGGCTGGAATGCCCATCTGGGGAAGGCCACCCATGGGATGGTACCTGCAAATCAGCCCTGCAAAATGGGCCACTAAGTCCTCTCTCAGAATGAGGACTCTTTGAAAGTAGGACCTGTTTCCTTCTCTGACTACAGGGCCCCAGCAGGTTAAGCTGTATTTCCTCTTCCCCAAGGGTTTTTTTTTTGTGTGTGTGTGGTGCTGGGAATGGAATATGCTAGGCAAATAGTCTGCCACTGAGCTATACCCCTAGCCCTTTTAAATTTTCTGAGACAGTGCCTCCCTAAGTTGCTAAGGCTGGCCTCAAACTTGTGATTCTCCTGTCTTAGTCTCCTGAGAAACTGTAACTACAAGTGTGCAGCACTGTGCCTGGTCCCCTGGGGCTTCTGAAGGAAGGAAGTATATATCCACAGTCACACTGGGAGGTCCCACCTCTGAATATACCATGGAATACCAAATGGAGTCCTGTACAAGGGTTTGATACCTGGCAACTAAGATGAGGCCAAGTACCTTCCACACTGGCCTCCCCTAGCACCAAGGAGAATCATGACTGACTACCCAAGGTACTTCCCATCAGCTCTAGGTGGCAGAGTCCTAGCTACAATCCCATCAAACCTCTCCTCTGACCACTTTCCCAGTCATCTAGAGGCTGAATCCATAAGAGAAAACGACCCCATCTTGTTCTTCTGTCTTTCAGGGTTGGAACTGAATGGTCAATCCAACTTCTCTACCTGGTGGGTTTAATGTTGGAAGAAGGGCTCTCAGATAGCTCTAAGGTGCCTGGAGGGCTGGTGAGCCCAGAAGCTGTCCAGGGCAACCACTGCCATCCACGCCATCAGCAAGCCCTTGTTCTGACTATCTTCCTGGGTTCTGTCAGGCCTGGGCTCACGTTTCATTCCCAGTCAGGCACCTCCAAACATTAGAAACCCAACCTACCACGCAGATGAGGTAGATGCCCAGGAACACCTGGCCGGTAGACTGAAGAGAGCGGCTGCGGGGTTTCCGACGGTATAGCTCCCCAGCACCGCTGGCTAGCACCAGAAAGCCACCGATAATGGCAACTGTACGTGAGTACATACGAACCTAAGACCAGGGCAAGGAGACTCCAGTCAGGAACTGCAGCCACCACATTTTTCCTGGCTGCCCAGAGTATAGAACTGCCCATTTCTACACATATGATTCCAACTGATAATGTCCTCTTATTTCTAAGGGTGGTTGGCAGATAAAGCAGAGATAGATATTTCTTTTTTACAGAAGTGGAAACTGAGGCCCAAAGGGGTTCAGAAAATTGTCCACAGTCCTACTGAAAGTAAGTGACAGAACTCAGACACCACACATTGCCCCTTTCCCCATCTGGTAGGTCTGGAGACTCAGTCGGTGTTCTTTCCTCTATACAGTATACAGAACAGAGTCAGAAAAAGGGAGAGAGGGAAGGAAGAAGAGCCGAACTCACCCTCCTGTAACTGTACACATATCTGCCTCCCTTACTGGGACTGACAGTCCCTTCTGCGAAATCAGTCCTTTTCCAACCTTACCTTTAAGCCTGCAGTGCTCAACATAGGTTCTGACATTTACAGGTTTAAATGCTGCACTAAGATTAATTACCTTTCATAAAATTAGATGGTTGAACCAGATACTCACCAAGGTCCTTGTTGATGTATAAATCTGAGATTACTAAACTAATAGTTTAAAGGATTCTTAGAATACGAGACCTGGGTTCTCATCCTACCAAAGAATGATGTAATATAATCTCAGTAAAAAGTCTTTCCCATCTCTGGACCTCAATTTCAACACACTGAAGGGAAGGTTTGTGTGCTCACTTAAGGATCTTCCATTTCTGCCCTTTAACACAAGTCTAAGGACTCCGTCCTCCCAGGATTCACATGTGACTAGCACACCATGCAAGCCCACTAAGTGCCCTGGGAATTGGTCTGAAGCTCCCCCTTCTGGGGCCAAAACGCTCACCTTCAGCCAGTCCCCGTAGTGGACGTAGCCTCCGATGTAGGCGGCGTAGGTGCTAATAGCCAGCTGGAGTGCTGCCCCCAGCGCGAACCAGCGCCGCTTCACTCCGAAGGACATGAAGCTAGCACATAGCACGGCTGCCCCCATGTCGAAGTACAGGTAGGGCACTGGGATGTCCGGCTTCCTGCGAGCCGAGAAGCAATGAGGACAGAATAAAACCGGGAAGAGCCTTGAGACCCCGTGAGTTCCCCCCAAGCTGCACTGCTCCCTCAATTGAAGACCCCTCTCATGGCTAGAACCACCACATCAGATCTGGCCAGATGCCCAAACCATAGCACCCCTCCCAAGTTCAAGGCACCAATTCCTCCCAGTCCAAGAGTCCCAACTTCTGGGCCCCAACTTCTTTCCCACATCACTGCAACCCAGTTCTCAGGACAGGCCGTATCGCCCCCCACCGCGTTCGGCGGCTGCGTGGGCGCGCTCACCGGCGCGCCTCGGCCCTTTCAGCGTACAGCATGAGCTGACTAAAGCAGCCCCAAAAGGGGCAGCGTGTAAGCAGCACCGAACCCAACTGCATGATCAGCTGCAGCATCCATCGTCTCGAACCTATCTTCGATGCCATCTTGGGAAAGGGCAGTCCGCAGCAGCCTCACCCGGGTCTGGGAGGCGGGTTCTGGGATGGGCCACGCAACTTCCGGTCCCTTGCTTATTGCTTCCGACAGAAAACGACGCTCTCGCTTTCAGTTCCGAAAGGAAGGTGGCGTTCTCTTAAGGGAGTTCAGGCTTCTACTCTGAGGGTGTAGACTTCAGGGCCCCACTTTGTACCTACCAAACTGAATACTAGACCTCAGTAAGGAACGATGGGGTCAGAACCTTGTAAGTCCTGTATTGTAGCTTGGTGTATGGAAGCAAAGTTATCTTTGCAGGCAGAACTTTAACTCTGTGATGTTGGGCACATTGCCTAAACTAAGACTTAACTGTGGAATGGGGATAATGATCACAGAGTTTTTTGGAAATTTGTGACAATTAGTCCTAGAACATAGTAGGAATTCAATAAAAGAAATACACACAGAGATCCCAGAAGAAATCCCTCAGCTTCCGTTTAAAGTAAGGAGTACTCCTGGCTCCTGTCTGTCTCCTGAGAGAACAGGGAAATCTAATGTGGCCATTTGGAACACCTCAAATCACTTCATTTTTCCAGTTCCAATGCTCACACTCTAGCCCAAACTATCATTTTTATCAGTTTAACTGCAGCAACCTTCCAAATGGCCTTCCCCACTTCCCCTTTGGCCTCCTCCAGTTTGTTCTCAATTCCCCTATTATATATGCTAACATCAGCTACCCTTCCTTTGAATCACAGCACAAAGGCAATTACATATTTGTGACTCTTATGACTATTTTCCCTCACTAAATTGTGAATTTCATGAGGATAAAGACAGTATTTTGGGGGGTGGGAGTACTGCGGATTGAACTCTGGGGAATCTCAGCCATTGAGCCACATTCCCAGCCCTATTTTTGTGTTTTATGTAGAGAAAGAGTCTTACTGAGTTGCTTAGTGCCTCGCTTTTGGTGAGGCTGGCTTTGAACTTGCAATTCTCCTGCCTCAGCCTCCTGAGCCACTGGGATTACAGGTATGGGCCACCACACTTCGGGCCTCTATTTACTATTTATAGCCTCAGTATACAAAATATATTCATGAAATATGTACTATATATTAACAAAAAGTGTTGTCAGTGTATGTAGTTCATAATGCTCAATAAATATTTATTAGAGGCAAAAGTTCTGGGCATTTTAGGGTTACCACCACAAAGCTGCCCCCTATCTTCCTGAACATACCTGTACCCTTTAACACTGAATTCACCCCACAATACTGAAGACCCTGCAAGCACCCCTAGTGGGTCATTTGATTCAGATCTACTTCCAATTCCCTGGAAGGGGCTCATGTCCAAACAGCGTTTCTAACCAATTAAAAAAAAATGAAGTAGTCAATGACAGCTTATTATGATTTGGATCTTTAATGCCCCCTCCCAGAAAAAGCTCCTGTTTTGAAAGCATGGTCCCCAAAACAGCAATATTCAGAGGTGAACATTTAGAAAATGATTAGATTGTGAGGGTTGTAACCTTATTGGTGGATTAATCATTTGATGGATTAATAATTTGCCTACCGGTGGTACCTAGGCAAGTGGGCCATGATTGGAGGAGGTAGATTACTGGGGAAGTGGCCTTGGACTGTATCTGTCCATGGTCCCTTCCTTTCTCTCTCTCTTTGCTTCCTAGCTGCCATGAGCTGAGCAGATTTCCTCCATCTCACCCTTCTGTCATGATGTTCTTCCTCTACTGGGTCCAGAGTAATGGAGTCAGACAACCATAGACTGAACCTTTGAAACCATGGGCCCAAAATAAAATTTTCCTCTTCCAAGTTGTTCTTGTCAGGTATTTTGGTCACAGCAACAAAAAAACTAAAATACAGCTCAACAACAACAACAAATTCTTTTTCACATTTCATTTTTAAAAGTCACTAGGCTAAGGCTGGTGTTGTGGCTCAGTGGCAGAGTCTTGCCTCGCACACGTGAGGCACTGGGTTCAATCCTCAGCATCATATAAAAATAAATAAATATAATAAAGCTATTGTGTCCATCTACAACTAAAAAATATTTTTTAAAAAACCATTAGGCTAAAATCTGGGTATATCAGAAGGAACATGAGTTAATGTATCCATGCAAATAACTAGGGAATGGGATTATGTAATTGTGTAAATCTATCTTGTGGGAATGGGGAGATGTCTAGGCAGAAGAAATGAGGAAAAGTCCACATTCAAAGTCATTTTTCACTAGGCATGGTGGCCCATGCCTGTAACCTCAGCTACTTTGGAGACTGAGTCAGGAAAATTGAGAGTTGAGGCCAGACTGGACAATTTAGTGGAACCCTATCTCAAAATATCTTTAAGGGGGGACTGGGGAACATAGCTTGGTGGTAGAGCACTTGCCTAGCATTCACAAGGCCCTGGGTTCAATCCCCAGTACCCTCTCCACCCTCTAAAAAAAGTCATTTTGCCTACCTCTGCCCATCAATGACAACCAGACAAACTTAAGTTTTCTTCACCCTAACACAGGCACATAGTACAGAATCACTTTCCAATTGGTTTTATTTTTCCTATCTCTTTACCCATTCCCGATTCAAGCCCTAAGGTGTTGAGGAGGATCAGAACAGGAATTACGAATATCCATAAAATCATCCTAGAAGCCCAACTGCTGTCCCCACAGGCTATCCCCCACCATAACATTAGCAATGTTTCAATTAAGTGCCCATCAGCAGAAGTTATTGATATGTGCAAAGAGGGGAAAGATAAGGATTAAGAAAGCTTTCCTTGGTACCCACTCCATGCCAATCTCTCTGGTTTAGGTTCTTCTTTCACTACCCTCTCCCAAAGAATTGAGAAGGAAAGGACTATAGCCAGATCCTAGTTTCTAGAGTTGAGACAGATGCCGCTTAGGTCAGAGGAGGGGATGAGTAGGCTATTTAGACCCTGAGAAATCAACATAGCCGTTTTGCCCCTGCCCATACTTCAGTTCTGTTTGGGTAGACAATTGAACTTTTCAGAAACTTTCCAACCTCCCTTCTCTAGCTGCCTTGACCTCCTTCTGTAGCCCTCCTCACTTCTCCAGAGGGCTCCCCAGCTATCTGGACCCTCTAGGGCCCTGCCTGCACTTACACTCATCCATAACCACAGCCATGGTAACCAGCATGGTATCTCTGATGCCTAGCACAATGGCCATCTCAGCCAAGCAGAGCTGGGCCTCTACACTGCCCAGCACATGTCAAAATGCCCAGGTTGGCCACATGCCAACTTCCCAAAGGCCCACTGCAGGTCACAGTAGCACTTCCAGGGACTGTTGGACAACAACAGCCATGTGCCTGCTGTCTGATTGTCAACCACTACCTTGAACTCTAGGTTTGCAGTAAGTTGTCCACAAAAGAGGCCTAGTGCCCACAAGGCTGCAAGGGCTTCGGCCTGTAGCTTGCTGATGTCGTTCCCAGCCAGAGAGAGGACTGGCATGATGGTCAAGACAGCACTCTCAACATGCTGCAAATAGTTTCCAGTCATTGGAGCTAGTATAGGCTGAAGAGGTACCCAAGGCCACTTGTACCAGCTGGTTGTGGCTCTTCCAGGCTCTCCAGGTTCCAAAGCTGTAGGGGTCCAAGGTGGTAAACAGGTTGTAAGGTCCAGGTGGAGTAGAGCCCGGGGCAGCTGAGAAGTCTAGAGGCAGGTTGGGCCAGCTAGTTGCAGCAAAGATCCAGCAGTTTCAGGAAACTCAGGCTCCCCAAGTCCCACCAGCCAAATCTCGAAGAACATTGTGAGAAAACAACAGTATCCACAGTATCCAGGGACACTGGAAGGAGCCATATAAGGAGTGGCTGAGATTATTTTGGCTCAGTTCCAGGGGCCAGACACTGTAGGAAGTCTGGAAGGGAAACCAATCAAGTGGAGGCCCAAGAGTCCACCACAAGGCCCACAGTTGAGCAGGTGCACTGTGCTGGGAACACTGTTGCTAGATTCCAGAAAAAGTCCAATACACAATTATGGCTACAGCCATTGTGAGCAAGGAGTGGCCCATGAGGGGATGGGCTAAGAATGGCATAAGGCACACAAGGATGCTGATGCTGTAACCCCAGCAACTCAGGAGGTTGAAGCCAGCCTGAACAACTTAGTGAGACCCTGTCTCAAAAGGAAAAGGGCTGAGGATGTAGCTCAGTGGTAAAGCATGCCTGGGTTCAATCACCAGTACAAAAAAAAAAAAAAAAAAAGCCGACAACATTTCACAATTATGTCTCAACTCATCCACCTAGAGTCGTGGAAGTTCAGTGATATCAGAAATATATAAGCAGAGACCATTCAGGGGTCTCATTGTTTACTGGATCCCTACATCCGCAAGCACAAGAGCCATCTAAGCCTGAGACCCCAACATTCTGATTCCTAACCCTAGCTACCCCTTATTGTCTTATTCCTACCAGCATGAAAAACAGTCAGGAAAAATGGTTCTTTAATCCTCAGGGCCCCTCCTTAATGTCACCTGTCACCCAACCTCACTTTCTTTTTTTTTTTTTTTAATAGATGAATTACAGAGACCCAGCTCTTAAAGCCTGATTTTTTTTTTAAGAGAGAGTGAGAGAGGAGAGAGAGAGAATTTTTAATATTTATTTTTTAGTTCTCGGCGGACACAACATCTTTGTTGGTATGTAGTGCTGAGGATCGAACCTGGGCCGCACGCATGCCAGGCAAGCACGCTACCGCTTGAGCCACATCCCCAGCCCCCCAACCTCACTTTCTATAAGGCCCCAGGAGAAACTATTTTCTCCTGCCCCTAAACATTCAGTTATACAAAGGCAGCCAATGTTTGCAGAATTTCTATTCTGCAAGAGGACAGAGCCTTGACTCTGGTCTGGTCTGGCCACTAAGGTAAGGGCCTTAAGCCACAAAATTGCAGGGTACTCACCTATATTCTTGGCAACACTTGCTGAGTGAAGCCCAAGTCCAGGAGTGGAAGTGGAAAATCTCAGCTCTGGTTTCGTGCCTATCTGGCCTTTGCCTAAGCCCCAACCTTAAGGGCAACAGGGGGACCAGCTCTCAGGGAAGCCTTAGCCCTGAAGGTCAGGATACAAGACAAGTTGAGAA